GCTGCAGGCAAGGGTTTCTTTTATGGTTTCCCCATGGGTGAGGGCAGATGCAAACACTTGGGAACGCCTCCCCTTCAAAGAACACTTTACAGTGAGCTGATGGCTTAAACAATACATAGAATTTAACCCTTAACAGAAAACCATCCTTCCTCTGTGAAACTGAAATGCCATCTTAGAACAGGGAAAAATTTGACCTAGATTTCCAAGCTTTTTGGAATACAAGTGAGTTCTCGTGGCTTGTAATATACACAAATTTAAAACCATTCCTGAACATCAGCCACAGGCCCCAAGGTTTCTCTTCGGTAAAGCAATCTTGCCTTGACACTGAAAACATGCATTGAAAGGTCTACATTGAACTTTGTAAGTGACATCTTTATAATGCTCTGCTCCTACAGAGATTTGGACACAACTCCCTTCACAGCATTCCTGGGAGGCAAGGTGGGGCAAAGAAAGATAAAGACCACGCCCCAGGGAGCAATACAGCCAGGAAGAAATGCCAGAAGTCCTGATGCTAGGGCAGAACCCCACAACTTAGCCTTCATGTCAGCCGAGCTGCAATACCTTCGCATGTGTACACGCTGCCCTTGCAGCAAATGAGAGGTCTTTCACCCCAATTTAGCTTTCACAGAAAGACCTGGTTGAGTTAATGTGTGGTAACGTATTAGTTACAGTAATGTCACCAGTGCAACATCAGTGGGTCAGTATGTTCCCCTTAACACCCAGGATATGAACACGACAAGCACAATACAGCTTTTAAAGGCGATTTAATGCCTCCACTTATGCCTCCAAATTCCCCTATATCACAAGATCTTTCACAGGAACTCCTGTACTTACCTGCTGCTTTCGAAGGCTCTTCTCTCTGCTAAGGACCCTGGGATGTATTTCAGCCCTGGCATCCTCCTTAGCAGGCTGAAAGGGAACACCCAGTCCAGCTTAGAGCCCACCGACTCCGGAAAATCCAAGCAGAAACAGTAGCCGAGACCATCTGAAGTCAGCAGCATGTTAAGGAGGACTGCAGACGAAACACACTCATTTCTAACACAGCCACACACAATCCCCCTCAGGCCACAAACTACTTTCCCTGGAGAATTCTCCCAGTTCTACCCAGCGCCATCTTCACAGACCCTCGCCCTTCTCAGCTCCATGTTCCCTGCGTGCACTAAAGCCGCAGGGGAAGTGGAAGCACGAGGTAAAAAACAAATGCAGAAGTGGGTGTGATGAGGACTGGCAAAGCCAGTGAGAGTCTGTCCTGGCTTCGGCAGGGATAGAGTTACTTTCCTTCCTAGTAGCTGGTACAGTGCTGTGTTTTGGATTTAGGAGAACAATGTTGGTAACACACCAATGTTTTAGTTGTTGCTGAGCAGTGCTTACACTAGTCAAGGACTTTTCAGCTCCCCACGCTCTACCGACTGAGCAGGCTGGGGGTGCACAAGAAGCTGGGAGGGGGCACGGCCAGGACAGCTGACCCAAACTGGCCAGAGGGACATTCCATACCGTGGGACATCATGCTCAGTACATAAACTGGGGAAAGCTGGCTGGGGGGGCCGCTGCTCGGGGACTGGCTGGGCATCAGTCAGCATTATTCTCATACTAAATCCAAAACACGGCACTGTACCAGCTACCAGGAAGAAAATTAACTCTATCTCAATGCAGAGCAAGAGCCCAGGAAACACCATAAAGCCAGCGCATCTCTGCAACGAGAACCACAGCACGACCTCCCCCGCATGAACCAGCGATCCCACTCTGGTTTGGGGCTTCGCACTTGGAAAGGATACAGGCTTCCCCAGCTAGGAGCCCAGACAGGTTACTCAAGAGAGAAGAGCCGGGGATAAACCACGCTATGCAGAGCATAAACCATGGCACCAGCACCACTGGAACTCTAATGCCAAAAAACAGCATCCTCTTCATCCGCGAGCGGGTGGTGGACACACCCAGCATAGCAAAAGCTACTGACATGAATCCTTTGGCATCTTCCACCTCTGACACCCTCGAGACAACGGTCTCGAGTAAGAGGTACAGGAGGGCGGAGAGGATGGCAAACGCCACGGTGAGGAAGCAGTGCTTCACAGTGCCAACGTTCTTCTCAAAGCTGCCGGCAAAATACCAGATGATAATGGCACCGCAGGTCAAGGATATCAGGTCTTCGTAGACAAAGATGTAGGTAACCAACCTGTGAACTGAGCACACCAGCACGTCAGAAAGGCAGAGGCAGCAACGAGTCTGTTTTAAACCACTACAGTGACGTGCTTGAGCAGAGGGAGAGTGAGCCTGAGAGGAGCAATTAATAGCTTTCATTTCTATCCTGGTGCAGAAGGGAAGGAACTTGAGGCCTTTAAAACCAGGCGTAAATAACCAAATCGAGTTAAAACAAGTGCTATCTTGGGTATCGCAGACATATGGGCTGACTCTTGCTGCTTCCTGGGAAGCTGCCTGGAAAAAAGCAACAGAATCTGTAGTAAATTTCAGTCTCATTAAAAGAGAAGGCAAGAGACATAAAAATGACTGTTACCGTAACTATGATTTTGCTCAAAAGATAAACACTTCTTAAACTGCTAGAAGGCTGATTTTTCTCACAAAAAATGCCCGGAGGTTAACAGACCTCAGAAGTGCCCCCAGGCCCTCTGGTTAGCCGTTCTCAAAGAGTTCTCCGCCTCCCTCCCACCAACCTCAGACCTATAGCAAGAAACACAGCAGTTGAGAGTATAAGCCGGTGCAACCTGCCTGCCCCCCTGGAGACACGTGAGGAGGTGGCTGAATTCACCCATCAGCGCAGAGCACTGGACTGCTAAAAGAAATCGCTGCACGCTGGCGAGCAGAAACACGGTAATTGAGAGCGTGGTAACAATCGTTCTGTGGATACCACAGGGACCGAGGAAAACAAATCCCCCAAGCTCCAAGCAGCATACCCCCACTCTGCAGTGTCAAGGGCCGGAGATGGGGGCCGAGGGGGGAGCAGCCCGATATAGGGGAGGCGGAGATGGATGCCCAGCAGGCTCGGTGCAGGCCAGGGGAAGTGCCTGAAGGGGAGGGGGGGGAAGGGGCACAGCGCGGGTCGTGGGGAAGGCCCAGAGAGGTGGGCCACGGAGGGAGCAGCAGGC